AAATTAAATATATCTTCTTCATTAATGCTCTAAGTGGCCATTGCATTTGTTGTCAGTTTTGTCCTCCAAAAACAAAACTTCAAACATTTTTCGTTTCAGGACAAAATTTAGTTCCGAGTCTGTCTATATGGGGTCAATTTCTTGTAACCGGGAAAACTCCGAAATCGTGGGACCAATTTTTAGGAAATTTTCAGATATTGTGCGGGTTCGTATCAAGATGGTTCCATATGAATTTCATCCCAATCGTATTCACAAAATGTGAGGCAGCTATACTGCCCTCTCACTTGGCAGATATTTTATTACATACAATTCAATTAATTAAGGTTTTTAGTTGAGATAAAAAAGTCAATGTCATGAGCGGGATTTGAACCCACGACCTTCGGCTAGATACGCCGCTACTCTACCACTTGAGCTATCGTGACTTCGATCCGCTCGGACACTAACTTCCCATCTCAGCCCCACCTTTTAAATTTTCCCTCCTTTTTGCCATTTTTCAAATGTCGTGTAATCTGTAATTCTCGGCGACAAATGAAATGGCCACGGAGAGCTTTAGTAAAGATATACTTCATTTAACTTATTAAATTCACTAGTTTTCTGGTCCGCTTAAGACGGACGCTTAGATAAAAAAGATTGAGGGTTGAAATGGGAAGTTAGTGTCCGAGTGGATCGAAGTCACGATAGCACAAGTAGTAGTGCAGCACGAAGATCGTGGGTTCGAAACCCGCTCGTGACATTGACTTTTTTTATCTCAACTAAAAACCTTAAATAAATGAAAGATATTAATTGGTCAAGCGGACGAAAACTAGTGAATGTAACCATTCCTAACTTGACCTAACCAGACCCTAACTCTACCTAAACTAACCATACCTAACCCAACGTAAACAATCTTTAACAATAATTCTACTTAACCTAACCAAACCTAACGATTTTCTCTGCCATTTAGCGTAACTGTTTCGCACCTAGCCAAAGTAAATTAGTTTTTAACCTTACCTAACCTATTAATTCCTAACCTAACATAGCCAGTCCCTAATCCTAACTCTGCTTAACATAACCATTCCCATAACATCCTAATTCCCTAAATCCAACGCAAAATTAATTACGCAAAAATGTATAGGTAAAACAAATTTATGTATCTAGCACTAAAACATATCCATGTTCAAATTTCGTACCATAAAAAGCTCAGTCCAGTTCGGGTGGTTAAAAATTGGTCGTATATCCTTGCTGTTTAAGAGGTAATATCAATCCATATCAAAATGTTAAAATTAGGTTTACGTGAAAAAAAATTAAAAATAATAGTGGAGGAGAATTGATGAAGAAGATGTAACAGTCTGGTATTATCCGATATAAATTGGTCTTTATTCAAGTACAAATTTCAAAAGTACAACTATACAAATATAATGTTAAATTTTCACCTATAAATTAGACCTCTAAATTGATCCTTATCGATAATCTTTATCCGGCCAAATGGAAAACAGCAATGTCCTCTTTTGTTGGATAAATTTTGGTCGTTATATTTTACCTGTAGTATAGGCAGGCCAGAAATTAATCAACTTTCATTAGTGGTCGTTGTTCTTTATAAATACAACAAAATAGCATAATAAAATAGAACAGGTCAGTTTGTTGGATTCAAACATGTCCTTATATGTACGTATATTAGTATCACTTCTAATCACGTTATATTTTGGTCTTCTTTCATTTTCCTGGCAATAATACACACTAGGCTTGATTTTCTTTCAATTAATATTGCGTATTTTCCAATCGAAAGGCTTATCATTTACATTTCAGTCAATTCGTTTGGAATCTGATGCTACCGGTTCTCATTACCCGGCTATGTCCACGAGTTTCTATCTGCTTGTAATTACCCCGACTACTGGTGTGCTCGGCAATTACTATCGACGTGGACAACTTGTTAACTCTTGTGGGCCCCCAAGGCTGGATAGAATGTAAATAGAAAATGTATCATCGTCAAGGTGGAAAACAAAAGCCGCTCCCTATCTCGAGGCCTAGGGCGTATACCTGAACCCGACCCAAACTTCCCTCCAAGAACAAAATACCTTGGACGGAGACTAGATATAAAACCCGGGAGAAACATTTTTCTCAATATTCAGCTTGCATACTGATTAAATTGAAATTTGCACAACACAAATATGTAACGATCAAATTAGTCGATTTTTTTTCACTTGGGCAAATGAAGTCAATAATTAAACCAGATGCCCAACTGTGACGAGATGTAGATTAGTTGAATCATAGGAATAATTATTACCTACTTTTCCACCGCACTTCCATCTGTATCCTTGAATTCGCAGTCGTTTTCCTTCTCTTCAAGATAACTTGAGAGATTTGAGCTTATATTTTAATATTACTTAACACTTTTTCAAGCCCTATCGTCTTTTTTATTCATCGATATCTTGATGCTTTTGAAAAACTTCAAACTGACTCATAACATTGGATGTGGATTTACGTAAACATGTGTTTTTACGATCGTGTAATGGTGATTGAACATAACATAAATATCATCGCACGAAGCAGTTTTGTTTTTGGCCTAATTTTTAATTTAAAACAAAAATTATCTGAATAAATGAGTCTTTAATCAAGGCTTATCATGCTAGCAAATTTTTTGATATGCTTGTGGTAATTGCCAAATCCCATTCCAAGGCCATTGGAGGAGACGAAGGCATCTCTAACAAATTCCTTAAACTCTGCCTCCCTGTTATTTTTATTCTTCTGCTTCATATTTACAACTACTCTGTACAGAACTAAGTTTTTCCTTATGCTTGGCAAAAAAAACCATTGTCCATCCCATCAACAAAACTTCCTAAGGTCTACTGTCGCGTATAGTCAAAGCCCAAGTTTCTAGGTACCTAGTACATTCCCATCTTTTTAATCCCATCCAATCGGGCTTCCCCCAGGATTACTCCACGCAGTCCGCTCTCACGAAAATTACTAGTAAACTCCACACTGCAATGGGCCAACGAAGATTTACCATCTCAATTCTCCTTGACTTTTCCAAAACCTTCGATTCCATCCCTCCTATCCAAAATCGAATCCTATTCCTTTTCCAATAGTACTCTCCGTTTGTTCCACTCCTACCTGACCAATCATCTCCAAGTAGTCACTATTCCCACGGACGTACATCCTCCTTCCTCCCATTAAAATCTGGCGTTCCCCAAGGCTCTAGCATCTCTCCCATTCTTTTTAGTATAAACATTAACTATCTGTCCGAATCCATCCAGAATTTTAATTACAACTCCCAAATTTGCCTATCCTTCCATCTCTCAGCCCTACACTTGGCCATCCTAAATACCCAAAATGACCTTAATCCCATTAATAAATGGGCCCATAAAAATTCCCTCAACCTCAATCCGTCTAAGTCCGCGGCCATAATCATCGGACAGACTTCTCAAATCCCTTCCCAATATCCCTTCTCTCACTGTTAATAACCACAAAAAATACCTATATCACAAATTTTGGGATTATCCAAGACCAAAACCTCTCCTGGGACCCTCACATTTCCCAAATTTCCCTCCACTTTATAGCCTCCCTCGGCCTATTCCGTCGGTCCTGGCTTCTCTTACCCTTCTACACCCCAAACTCCTAAGATCTCTTATCTTTCCCTTCATCGATTACAGTGTGAGATAGGGGAAGCTCTTGGGAGTAGGCGTCTGAAGCGCATCATGAATTGCTGTGTAAGATTCGTGGGTTCCGGGTGTCTCCCTGTATTCGGCTCACCCCTTTCTTCAGATCTCAATACTTCCTAGGATCTTTCCTTTTTCGTAGTTTTTATACTTGTCATCCTCAGTAGATCATCCCGTTCGCCTCAACACAAAACCCACTCCGAAAAATCCTTTCTGATCCGCGCCCCCAAACTCTGCAACCCCCTCATTCTATCTGGGGTGTAGAGAGAATGTCTTAATTCCTTCAAATTCCTCCTATACAATCACCTCCTCTCTCTTCACCTGAGTCGTTTTCTTAAAATTTTTATAAGAATTGCAATATTTTTATTTTTTAGTCTGTTTGTCAATTCATTTGATTTGTATGCATTTAATTTCATTTCATTTTTCCCTCTAAGAAATTATTTGTTTTTATGCTCTCTCTGTTTTATGTTGCACTTGATTAGCGGAACTTCCATCCAGTTAAACCGTTGTATTATTCAAAGGGGATCCCGTCCCAGAATAAAGATATATTTCTTCTTCTTAGCCATTTTTTTTTTCTAAATCACCTAAAGTACCTACAATCAATATTTTAAAAAATTGCTTATAGACTGCAATTTAATACCAGAGTTGTAGAAATCTTCTCAATAAGGTTTTTTTCTTATTTTCAAATTTTTAGCATGTTTAAAAGAAACTTTTGAATCGACTTACATGTTAATTAAAGGATTAACAGTTTTACCAAGGCGAATCATCGGTTTGGCCGAATTAAGTTGATCGAACGTTTGAAGCTAAATAAGGTCGACCTTTCCGCTGAGACATCTGCTTTGCCCTGGGCTTTTTAAGGGGCTTTTCTGTCTCGTCCTCTTGTGAATTTTTCGCTTCTGCGCTCTCATTAAATTATCCTACAATTATTAAAAATTACTATTTAATATTTCCTAATAACAATCTTTGAAAAAACAAATGAGATCGTGATTACATGGCCAGTTCCTTGTGAGAAACTAGGCTAATAAAAATGTCCGGTGGTTAAAATGTAATGGATAATTAAATTAATTTCGCTTCTCGGCCTTACTTTGTGTAATAGTAATTAACATAATGTAACTTTTATAAATTACCTGCAATTAATCGTTCCTCGACTTTGGACGGGTCAGAATGGTTGAGTGTTTTCATATTAGAAAAAAAAATTTAACAAGCTGCAGAAAATTAACAATTAATTATGATATGATCTAATCGAAAATCACAGCTAACTAAGCTTTAATCTAGATGGTGAAAAAGTTTCACTTTTTCCTCTCATTTTATTGCCACAAAAAGAAAAAAGTACCAAATTTTAATTTTTTTTTTGTTTTGTTTCAGGAGTCGACGACAACGGCCACCAAGCCGGTGTGTACGGCGGGGCTGCCCCCAGGACTCAAAGTTCCGGGAGCAGTTCGGCCTCACCACCGGCTGGAAGTGGTGCGCTTCCACCGCCGAGTATGCTCATCGTACCACATCCGCTGAGCAACCAGACCAAAGCAGAAGCCCAGCACCACGTCGTGACGCAGAACGGCTCCGGACGGAAGTATCAGTGCAAAATGTGCCCTTCGGTAAGTATCTAATTTTGATAATTACTATAAACAAAATCCACCCTGCATAGAGCAGATATATTATATAATATAAATTAGCAGTAATAAACAAGTCTCCATCCTTAAGTTAAGTACCATTCGGCAATCCCCTGGATATGACGTAATTATCTCCACTATACTTCGAAACCTTCCTTAAAAGACGGTTTTAACTGTAATATACAATGTCAGTCTACATACTCGCTTTCCTATTTTATGAACGTATTCCATTTTTTTTCTTTTTTTTAGCCTCATACACCACACAATATTTCCATTAGATGATTTTTTATATTAAAAAAAAATGGTAAAAAATATTTATAAAATATAAATAATTATAGATATTAGAATAATTATAGTATTATTATAATAATCCTAGATTGGCAAAGATTCATTCATATTAGGCTTTTTTATAATTATATGTAGATAGTTAATACTATTATTTCCTTCTGTTTATAAAGTAAATTTTATATTTTTATGATGTCAGGTTAATTATTCTAAAAATGTCAAAAATCCTGGAAAGTCTCCTTCTAAGTCCAATCCTAGATTGGCAAAGAATCATTCATATTAGGTTATGTTTTGTAATTATATCTAGATAGTTTATTCTATTATTTCCATCTGTTTATAAAGTAAATTTTATATTTTTATGATATCAGTTTAACTATATTAAAAATTGTTTTATTGGATATTTTTTAATACAAAAAATTTCGTCAATACACTTAACAAGAATCCAAGGGTTTTATATTAGTTGTGGACAAAGTTTTATTAAAGATAATATTTATGTAGATTCCATTTAACTGCAAAAACCTCCCACAGTAATGCCTGTGTCTATAGAATTTATTATCAAAAAAAAAATTTGTTATTATAAATTTTATGATTCGATATAAACATTTCCTTTTATAAAGGTATCTGGTTCTGTTACGGGCCAATTTTTGTAAATTATATGTTTGCGTAACCGTTTACGCTAACGTTATTAAAAATTTCGCTTATGTAGCTCAGAATTTTTCAGTTATACATCACAGTCGGTCTCTGGGCCATTTTCTTTCTCAAGTTAAGAAGTGAAAGAGAAAAGCAAGCACCTTCTTTATGCTAATCATTTTATACCCTCAAGTATATTTTTATTAATTTAATATATTATGGGTTGAGTTAGGAACATTAATGATAATGAGAGGCTCATTATATTTAATTTCTTAAATTTTCTGTTATGTTATCATTATCATCAAAAAGAGGCAGAAGCTTTTTCTATTTTCAGGTTAACCTTTGTTTTTTGTTAATTGATGTAATGGGACAAATATTTCCATAGTTGTAATTAAAGTCCTTTTTAAGAATATAACGCGTGATGGTGGAGGATAAACGATTCCCATGGGGTTTTACATTAACCTTCAGGCTTAGTTAGTCTCCGCAGTTAAACCGAACAACCTTTCTCACTTGCTTCCTGTTAAATGACAGCCGCGGCCGGTCAAACCTGAATCCCGTTTTTTTCTCTGATTTATACAGACCCAATCGAGAGTTATGAAAGTAATAACGAATTGTAGTTAAATTCGATGTCGGGAGGAAAGTTGGAATTAAGTAAGAAATCGTGCGATAACCGGAGGACATATCCAAAAATTCAGTAACAACGGTGACACGAGGAGATATATCTGCCGGGGGACAATGGTAGCAGTTTCCGGTGGTCCATTAGCAGATAACGAGCAGGATTGATTTAAACTAATTGCAAATTCGTTTACCCCTTTAAGACCACCGACCCTCTCTTAAATCCCAACAACGTAATAATTTACTTTATATTGGCTTGTTTCTTCGATTGCCTTCCGGTTGAATAAAGTCTTATAAATCCGCCCCGAATGGATAACACATTGCGGAAAATAATTAACGAAAGGCTTCATAAACTAACTTGGAATCCGTTTTTGAGATTCATAGATAGACGGCGTGTAGCACGTCAGCGGCCTTGGAGCTACTTCTCTATCCGCCTGTTCAAGTCTATTTTTGCCTCCGGCTCCTTAAGCCCATGGTCACTCGCGGAACTCAAACCTACTCACTTATCGTATAAATAACATATAAATCCTGTTTGCTTTATCTCTTCCCCCTCTGGAAATGGCCGTTCGCCGTATAGGAGCGAAGCCGGTGGATTTGTACTTTTATCGACTCTTTGAATACGCGATACGGAAATGGAATTTGAGATCGTAGATCCTTTATCGCGGACAAGAGGGAACGCGTCGTCGGCCTCTTTACCTGGCCATTTCCGTATTTTAAACAGCCCTGTTTTCCAAACTAACTGTATTCCCATATTTTTACTACAGCCGAACGTCACTGCGAGGCGGAAGCAGTCATGGTACCGTTACAGGGTAAAAAGTGAATAATAAAATTTGGGCGACTTTTATCCCTCTCCGGGCCTCTTTACAATGATTTTACTCGAGTTAATGTACCTCCTCGGGTTCAACGACATGCGGGACCTTTCTCGGCATAGTGGACGGTAGCCAAAAAAAGAAAAAAAACTGTTTAGGGCAATAAGTCGTAAAAGGAAACCCCAGGGTTAGTTACGCGTAAACGAAGCACTGTCAGAGTTGGACCTTTTATTTACAACTTACCCGACCTGCACAAACCTACCACCCATTCTTATTCTAAAAGGATGCGTTGGTAAAATTAACGTAGCTGTAAAACACCGACAAAGAGACCAGAAGGAATTGCTAACAAAAATATGTCAACTAATATTTTCTCATTATTTCTTTCTGCAACAGGATATTTCAATTTTTAAATATCTAGTTAAAGTTTCTTTTTGTTCCTTTTTTCTCTTGTCAAGTAGTTACTATCTAAGTAGTCAAGTATACTGACATTAATCAAATCGGCAAGAATAAATTAAAGTGAACGAAGGTAAAGAAAAAAACATCAACAATTTTTTGGAACAACAAAACAAACCAAGTACTAAAAATGTCCAATTGTCGAATAGAAAAAAAACCTGACAGACAAGCAGCGAGAATTGGAGATCAAGAAACATTTGCGCTACCTGCGATGCAATTAGTGAAATTTAGCACGATATGGGCCACTGAATGGTTCCAGGGGGATCGGTAATTTTTGATAATTTCTTTGATCTTTTTGGCGATGAACCTGTAGTTTTGGTTCTTTCCCGACGTTTTGTTGGTGTAGTTCTGCTCTGCTAGACAGCCAAGGCTTCAGAGTGGTTTTTAACCGAAAATTTCATTTTTTTACCCATTAATTCACTAATTTCGTGTTCCGCTTGACCAATTAATACATGACAATTAATTAAGGTTTTTAGTTGAGATGAAAAAAAGTTAATGGCACGAGAGGGATTCGAACCCACGACCTTCGGCTAGATACGCCGCTGCTCTACCACCTGAGCTATCGTGACCTCAAGGGAAAACTCATAAGGTGGGGTTGAGATGGGGAGTTGATGTCCGAGTGGATCGAGGTCACGATAGCTCAGGTGGTAGAGCAGCGGCGTATCTAGCCGAAGGTCGTGGGTTCGAATCCCTCTCGTGCCATTAGCTTTTTTCATCTCAACTAAAAACCTTAATTAATTGTCATTTTTAGCCATTGTTTCATTTTTAAATAAAATTTACAATTTAACCACGTTCTTAGGAAGAATAAAACATTTTCTCTATCTGCAAATAGCTCCATCTTCTCTGCCGAATCCATGGCTATTCTAAGGCATTAGAGTATGTACAGAAGTTAGATGTTAAGAAAATTGCTATCCTGACTGATTCAAAAAGTATTGTCTCGCACATAGAGAAAACAAATACCAATTCGAAACCGGGCCATGTAACAGTAAATATTTTGCTAGTGTATAGGGAACTGGTCAACAGCGGAAAAAATATAACTCTATGCTGGATTAGAGGACATTCAGGGATCCTTGGGAATGAGCTGGTAGATGTGAAGGCAAAACAGGCTATCGATACAGGGGAATTCTGCGAATATAAATATACAAAAAGCGATTGTAGACGTTTACTCAATGCGAGACTATCTGAGTGGCAGGAATTTCATAATGGCTCCGCAGGCGGATCACTGTATCGGTCCAGGTTCCCCATGGTACCCAAGGCTCCGTGGTTTCAAGGATGCAGGGCAACTTGCGACTTCTATACCGTAATCACACGGATCAGAAGCAACCATGGCTTATGGGGTGCTCATAAATATAAGATTGGCCTGGGAAAATATGCCAATTGTGCTTCCTGTGATTGTACAGAGGACATGAACCATATAATTATGGAATGCCCACAATACGAGGATATGAGACAGAATCTCATCAGTGGCATCTAAAAACCTCCTTGGTTGGAGTGGCCAGACCGTTTTCATTGGAAACTTTAATTACATCTGGGAGAAGAGACATATACCATCTAATTTATTGTTTCATAAGGGAAAGTTACATTGAGGTGTAATTCAAAGGTAGACATGTAACATGGGGCGCGAGCTTCGGCTCGGGGTCTCTTGTCACCTGCCTCGCTAAGTGGTGGTATCATGTTTAAAATATATATATATATATATTTGATACATGGGTAATATAATTAAAAAAAAAAACAGGTTTCTTCGATCCTGTGCCGTTTTCAGATCATATATTTTATTTTTGGAAAAGTTAGTTTACATTATTATATTGTTAGATATTTTTATAATTTATTTATTAATAATAATTAACATTACTTTTAATATTGCAAAAACAATGTTACGAATTACAAAAATAAATGGTATATATATTGCAACAGAATAACTTGTCTTTTAAACAAAACAAATTCATATTTAAAAAGAAAAAGAAGGAATAATATTGAAGAAAAGAAAAATTATTATTAAAACCTGAAGAAGACGAGACGCCGAAACGCTTAAGTATAAGCCAAATATAGAGCCGAAAGCAGAAAATATGTAAAATAAAGTATTGGACTAATTGACCACATTCCTAATAATCCAAAACCCAGAGTATTACCAAAGTTGGTCGGTAACAGAATAATCAAACACCCTTGTCCTGCTTTTTCAAAACTTCCTGCCTA